CTCGCACCAAACCAGGGGTGCGAGTCGCCAGCCTGGTCCAACCAGTTCCTGCTACTCGCACCAAGCCAGGGGTGCGAGGCGTCAGCCTGGTCCAGCCCGTTCCTGCTACTCGCACCAAGCCAAGGGTGCGAGTCGTCAGCCTGGTCCAGCCCGTTCCTGCTACTCGCACCAAGCCAGGGGTACGAGTCGTCGGCCTGGTCCAGCCCGTTCCTGCTACTCGCACCAAGTCAAGGGTGCGAGTCGTCAGCCTGGTTCAGCTCGTCCCTGCTACTCGCACCAAGCCAAGGGTGCGAGCCGTCAGCCTGATCCAGCCCATTCCTGCTACTCGCACCAAGCCAGGGATGCGAGTCGTCAGCCTGGTGAGGCCCGTTCCGGCTCCACGCATCAAGCCTAGGGTGCGTATCGTCAGCCAGGTCCGGTCCGTTCCTGCCTCACGCGCCAAGCCAGGGGTGCGCGTCGTCAGTCCAGATCCTACCAGCTGGGTCAGATCGGACCGGGGGCGCTACGGGGGGATTGAAGAAGGGTGGTGGTCAAGCCCGGAGCCGGAGCCGCCTCCGAGGAGCAACACCCACCCAGCCCTCCCCTATTTGGGGTGTAGGCGCGGTCGGAGTCCGCGCCTTTAGGGGGGGGTACTGTCACGCTCTGGCTCCGGGACTGTGTATTTTGAGCCAGGGTGTGTTCATTTGGTTGTGTTTGGTATTGGTTGTGTTGTATTTGGTTGTGTTTCCTTGTTTGGTCGTGTGACTCCCAATCAGTGGTAACGAGTGTCAGCTGTCGGCTCGTTATCTCTGATTGGGAGCCATATTTAAACTGTCAGTGTTCACCTTAGTGTGGTGGGTTTTTGTTCCGTATCAGTCATTGTAACTGAGGACTTCACGATTCGTCATTGTTTGTTGTTTTGTGTTGAGTACTTTAATTAAATAAAGTCATGTTCGTATCGCACGCTGCGCCTTGGTCCTCTCTAACCAACGATCGTGACAGCTGGACTGCGAGTACAGCCAAATCTAAGCCGATATACAGTGGCAAGTGTGATGAGAACATTTCGACTGGAAAATAGGTATTGTAAAAATATCATCATATCAAAAACATCTGCACGGTTTCAGTAACTGCTTACAGTACTATATTCTATGCACTATCAGCACTTCTGTTACCTTTTCCTGTGAAATTACTGTACTATTGTATACTGTTTTTTTTCCTACATAGGATTGAGGGTCAGGGACGACAAGGGGGAAGGCCTCCTATGTTCACAGAACAGCAAGAGAGGGAGATAGTAAACATGGTTTTGGCCAACAATGCTATAACACTCAAGCAGGTCCAAGCTAACATTGTCAATAACCACGCCATTTTCAACGGTATCCATCAGGTCTCAACATCAACACTGGCACGCATCCTAAAAAAAAAACATATTCAAATGAAGCAAATTTATCGAGTGCCTTTCGAGCGCAATTCCGAAAGGGTGAAACGACTGCGGCATGATTATGCAGAGGTATGTATTCACTTTAGCAGTGTGATCTTGCATACTGTCTCATAATCTTTTACTGTACTGTAATATGTATACTAGATCTACACTGAACTACACAATTTTGCCTGACACTGTTTTTCAGAGAGTTTTACGAATGGATGGAGAGGAGATCCAGCATGAGTTCATTTACGTAGATGAGGCTGGGTTCAACCTGACGAGAACACGAAGGAGGGGAAGAAACATCATTGGCCACAGGGCTATAGTCAATGTCCCAGGGCAACGTGGGGGTAATATAACACTCTGTGCAGCCATTACACAGAATGGGGTCCTCCACCGCCATGCCCATATGGGCCCTTACAACACAGCACTCATACTTACATTCTTGGACCAATTGCACAACATAACAGCAGCAAATCAAATCGATCATATGCAATACAATGTTGTCTGGGACAATGTGTCTTTCCACCGCTCTGCTCTGGTTCAGAACTGGTTTCAGCAACATCCACATTTCACCGTCCTATATCTTCCACCATACTCTCCATTCCTCAACCCTATAGAATAGTTTTTCTCGGCATGGCGGTGGAAGGTATATGATCTCCGTCTCCAGGCTGAGGTACCCCTCATCCAAGCCATGGAGGAGGCCTGTGACCAGATGGAGGTAGCAGCAATGCAAGGATGGATTCGTCATTCAAGACGTTTCTTTCCAAGGTGTCTTGCTAATGACAACATTGCCTGCGATGTTGATGAAATTCTCTGGCCAGATCCAGCTAGGCGAAGAGACAATGTCTAGTTATTTTTTTTTTTTTAATTTGAACTTACAATACGTAAAGTGACGTTTGGTTACAGTATTATGAATCTCCATGTCAACATTTTGGGCGTGTTGAGAAATAAATGAGTTTCTTCAGTCTGCAACATTGGTCTTGTGTAGTGTTTGGTGAATTTGCATTATATTTGTACTTTGTTGATAGTAGCCTACTCTACTCATAGGGAAGTAGAAGTGCTAAAAGTGTTTTTGGTTTATCACAGCAGAGTGTAACTCGTGCAAACAGAGTATAGTAATGTGAAACGTGTGTGTTTCATATGGTAACAAAGTGTGGTTTTTAAAACGAAGTGTATAGTTTTTACAAGAGTGTTTAATTTTGCAAAGGATCTGTAGTGTTTTGCTAATTGGGTGTGTGGTTGTGCTAATTGTGTGTAGTGTTTTGAAAACACGGGCCCTGTTTTGAAAATCGTGCTTAAGCAATCAAAAAAAACTGTAATTTTTTTTGAACTTACAATACGTAAAGTGACGTTTGGTTACAGTATTATGAATCTCCATGTCAACATTTTGGGCGTGTTGAGAAATAAATGAGTTTCTTCAGTCTGCAACATTGGTCTTGTGTAGTGTTTGGTGAATTTACATTATATTTGTACTTTGTTGATAGTAGCCTACTCTACTCATAGGGAAGTAGAAGTGCTAAAAGTGTTTTTGGTTTATCACAGCAGAGTGTAACTCGTGCAAACAGAGTATAGTAATGTGAAACGTGTGTGTTTCATATGGTAACAAAGTGTGGTTTTTAAAAAGAAGTGTATAGTTTTTACAAGAGTGTTTAATTTTGCAAAGGATCTGTAGTGTTTTGCTAATTGGGTGTGTGGTTGTGCTAATTGTGTGTAGTGTTTTGAAAACACTTGGCCCTGTTTTGAAAATCGTGCTTAAGCAATCAAAAAAAACTGTAATCTCACCAAAAGGAGAAGGAGAGGCCGTAATGTGATTGGCCATCGGGCCATTGTTGGTGTTCCTGGGCAGCGTGGTGGCAATGTCACATTATGTGCTGCCATCAGCAATCATGGGGTTGTCCACCATCATGCCAACCTGGGGCCCTACAACACTCACCAGCTCCTCATTTTCCTCAATCACATGCGAGATGCTTTGTTAGGGCAGCAGGATGAGCATCCCATCTATGTTGTTGTTTGGGACAATGTGAGTTTTCACAGAGCCCTCCAGGTTAGAGAGTGGTACAATATGAACCAAGGTTTTATCAATCTTTGCCTTCCACCGTACTACCCTTTCTTAAACCCCATTGAGGAATTATTCTCCTCATGGCGGTGGAAGGTATATGAACGCCAACCTTACACCAGGGTAAATCTCCTGCAAGCCATGGGACTTGCCTGTGGTGACATAGGTGTGGAGGCATGCCAAGCCTGGATACGGCATGCCAAGGGTTTTTTCCCCCGTTGCCTGGCCAGACAAAATGCGGCCTGTTATGTGGATGAAGTCCTGTGGCCTGACCCAGTACGGAGACATGATGCTGTGGCTGAGTAATGCACTTATTTGTATATTTTTGTACTTTATTTTTACATGGGCTTACTGTACACAAGTGGCAAACGCATAAGATTTCTGTTTGTTTTTACAAGTGCTACATGTAAATGCACAAGATTTCGGTTTTGTCTTTTTGTACAAGTGCTAAATGCAGTTTTTTTTTTTTTTGCAACATGCATTTAGCCTACAGTGAACAATAAACATGTATTTCTCCAGCTTCATGTCCTGAGCATTGTGTTTTCTATTTTTCTACGTAGTGTTTAGTGACTGTTCAGTAGTGTTTTTTATTTTGATTGACTCGGGGCACGATTTGACAACATAGTTCAGTTTTGAGCACAGATTGAACTGTTTTGAGGTGAAAGTTTGGTTTTGCAAGAAGAGTCTGAGGTTTTGTGAATGTAGCTTGAAAATTGGGTTTTGTGTTCACAGTTAAGAGAAAAGGAGAGCAGCTTTCAAGAAATGTGTCTTAGCAATCGAGAAAAACTGTAAGTGTGTGTCCTCAGGCCCTACTCTACTACCACATATCTATAACACCAAATCCATGTGTACGTGTGTGTATAGTGCATATGTTATCGTGTGTTTGTATGCATGTGTCTATGTTTGTGTTGCTTCACAGTCCCCGCTGTTCCATAATGTGTATTTCTATCTGTTTTTTTAAATCTAATTTTACTTCTGGCATGAGTTACTTCATGTGGAATAGAGTTCCATGTAGCCATAGCTCTATGTAGTACTGTGCGCCTCCCATATTCTGTTCTTGACTTGGGAACTGTGAAGAGACCTCTTGTCTTGTGGGGTATGTGTGTGTTACCTGGTGGTACATTCCATGCAGTGGTAGAGCAGTGTGTGTGTGTTACCTGGTGCTGCATTAGGTGCAGTGGTAGAGCAGTGTGTGTGTGTGGCAGCTCATCCTGACTGCCTTGCCTTCTCAGACACTCAAAGTTGAAGGAGGGCCTCCTGTGACCTGGACGAGTGACGGGCAGACAGGACAGGAGGGTGAAACTAGTGAAGCTAAACTACTCATGCAGGAAACAATGACTACATGCAACTAAAAGGCATCAACACACATCCACGTACAAAAAACAGTCACGAAGAGCTCTTTAAAATGAGAGAAAACCAAGTCAGTGGCAAGTCAATTTAATGAATGAGTCAAAAACTGTGTGAATAGCTGTGGAAGATTAGCTTCTATTTTCAGTTAAGTCAAGTATCTGACCTTAGTAACAGCTTATATGTAGACAAGCTTCAGAAGCATGCTGGATAGAGAGAAGGGATGTTACCTTGGGGCGTGGCAGGAAGCATCCGTCTCTTAGGTGACCTCCTTCCGTCTTGGTAGAGGGGTTGCTCGTCATCGTTGTAGTAACTGTCGGGGTGGTGGTAGCCTCTAGGAGTCTCGTACTCCGTGTCACTGTTCTGGTACCTGTCCAGGTATTCCTTATAGGACATCCTGGAAGGATAGGGTATTGGAGGTGAACTAGCTACTTTAATTTGCAGAACTTTTTATATTTTAATTCATTCTATTTTAATAGGCTCGGGGGCCGCATCTGGCTCCCAAGCCACTAGTTTGAGACCCCTGCTTTAGCAGAAGGGAACTAATCGTGAGGTATAGTATATACAATATATAGGATACATGTATTTCTCTGAGGTTGTAAGGGTGGAGTGTTGGTTACTTTACCTGTCTCCTGACAACATGCTGTCGTCCTCGTAGAACTCCTCTCCGCTGTAGTACTCTCCCGAGCACCTGTCATCGTCAAACTCCTCCTCCCGTCGGATGGTGGGAAGGCGGGCGTCTCCCCGGTGGGACCTGGTGGGAGGGGGTGAGGGGTCAGGGTTCAGAGATCAGAGGGGGGTGGTGTCCAGTGGAGGCTGGTGTCACTTTAAAATTGGAGCACAGGCTCATTGGAATGGAATGAATAGAATGGTACCGGTTCCAGCCATTACTATGAGCGGTCCTCCCTTTACCAGCCTCCACTGATGATGCTGGACTGCGGGAGAAGTTGTGGGGGAACAGGACCATGCACTGCCATGCAGACACAAACCTCCAGCCTCCAGGGGGCAGCGATGCAACAGAACTAACGTCCTCCTCATCCACCACCACAGCCTCATCAAGACAACAGGGACATGGACAGTAGAAGCTGTAGACCAGCGGACGATGCATACAGTACCAAAGAGCAACACTCAACGTTCACTTAACACTTATTTTGTTGCTCAAAGGAAAACTATGGTTGCCTGTAATACGATTGTTTGAGAAGTCTTCAATCAGATGTATCAAAACGTACATCCCCTTATCGTCATCCCCCATCTCAGCCGTGGGATAGCTCACCCAAATTACAAAATTACCTATTGGTTTCCTTACCCTGCAAGCAGTCTATGGACAAGGGAAATCAGCAATCCTTGCTCTGGTTTTGTTCATACACTCTTAGAAAAAAGGGTTCCAAAAGGGTTATTCAGCTGTCCCCGTAGAATAACCATTTTAGGTTCCAGGTAGAACCCTTTTTGGTTCCAGGGTATAACTATTTTGGGTTCAATGCAGAACCCTCTGTGGAAAGGGTTCTACATAGAACCCAAAAGGGTTCTACCTGGAACCAAAAAGGGTTCTACCTGGAACCAAAAAGGGTTCTTCAAAGGGTTCTCCTATGGGGACAGCCGAATAACTCTTTTTGGTTCTAGATAGCACCATTTCTTCTAAAAGTGCTTACAGGGTAAGGAAACCAATATTTCATTTTGTAATTTGGGTGAACTATCCCTTTAATTAAATACATTTCTGAGGGGCTTTTATAGAGCTACTGGTCATTGTTGGGCTTAGGAAGTAGTCAGGGTTTAAGGGGAGTAAGGTAAGTTTCCATACATATCCAGGTGGTTTGAGCATCCAAGTTCCTCCTTCAAGGCAAGCACTTCACTTCACCTCTCTTAGCAGTGCTCTCCTTCCTAGCAGATACATGCATACAGCAAGATTGGTCTAGGGCTAGGCAGTGTGCTGGCCAATCAGGCCTTTCCCTTCTCTTCTTTAAACATCAGAGTACTAGGTCAAGGGATACTACTCCACAGATAGGTGGTGGTGCAGAGACAGGGAGATAGATGACTGGCCAGCACACTCAGCACTAATTTAGCAGGGATTAGGGTTGAACTAATTCTGGTAACTTTCCCAAAACTCCCAGGTTTTCCAGAAATCCTGATTGGAAGATTCCCAGAATCAGGATTTCTAGAAAACCTGGAAATTGTGGGAAAGTTACTGGAATTTTGCAACCCAAGCAGGGATGCAGTTAGTTGCTTATTGGCCCCAAAAAATTTGATTAAAATCAAAAGTTCCCCTTTGTTGTGGTGGACACATAGTTCTCTAGCCATACCTAGGAAAGTAACATACCTAACATAGGTCTCATAGTAGCGCCTTCTGTCCAAGAAAGCGGAGAGATGGTTGAGAGAAAGCATTTTGGTTAGGTAGGAGAAAGGGAGGAGAGAACAGAGGGAAAAGGGACCGCATGAGTGACATATATATATATAATACAGTATATGAAGCATATACATGCATTCCTATATATGTATAAGTGAAGAAAGACGACAGCAGGGTGACGTGTGTACCAATGTTGGGGGGCAGTTCCATTTCAATTACAGGCAGTACAGGAAATCATTTCCAATCATTTCCTGAACTCATAAGAATTGAAATGGACTTTCAACCCAACCCTGGGGTGCTCCAGAGAGATGTATTGACTGCTTGTGGGATGGGTAACCTGAATAAATATGAAGTGTGCTGTTGGTCAGTTATATGGAATGAGGATGCTGATCAGCATGTGATTGGTCAGGTTAAGGTAGGGTCTGAGAGGGTATGTGCTATAGGTCAGTGACAAGAGGAAGGTCTGATAAGGAGAGGCTAGGTCCTGCCTTTGGCAAATCTTTAATGATAGGTACACAGAATGGCCTTATGGCTAATGGTAGCTGCATGCTAACTCTCCATGCTAACTTATATACCAGGTTTGTTCTATTGTACAAAAACCTTTAGTGGTGACATCATCATACACATTGAGACAGCTGTATGACTACGAGGGACTACGAGAGTCACTCAGGTGAATTGACAAGGGACGGAAGAGTTTACAGGTCAGACATTATAGTTTCTAAATATTGTGGCATTTGAAGTTTACATGAAGCTTCAAGCCACAGACGTTTCACCATTCTCTTTTACAATAACTAATCAAACCCAACAACACATGACGCGTCACCCATTTCATTTTGCGGCCAGAGAAAGAGATGTCAGTGTGTGGTCACCTTTGTCCCTGTGGCGTGCCGCGAGGTGGCGGCTTGTCGTAGTCTGTGTGGTAGGGGCCACTGCGGTGTCCTGGGTAACCGTTGGCTGGGGGCGGAGTGTGCTCATAGTAGCGGTGGTGGTGTCCTCCTCCGTTGGGCAGACTGGACATGTTGGCGTTGTTCAGGTTGATGTTGGTGGACTTGGGCGACTTGCCGTATGAGGAGTTGTGGTGGTGGTGGTGATTGGGGTGCGGGTGGGACATGGCGTTGGCCCGGCAGAGACGCCCCACCGGCTGCTCCATGTGGGCATAGTGTGGAGGCGGCTGCACCTGCAGGGGCCGCTGGGTGGCGTTGGTCTGGGGCCCCGATGAGCGCCGGTGGTGGTCCCCGTTCACGTGGTTGATGTGGTTACCGAACAGGCCACCATTGCGCTGTGGAGGAATACTCAGGGTCAAACGGTCAGGGACTACTTTCTGTTCAACACAGAAGATGAATACACAATGCTAGTGATGTGCAAATTGGGCTGACTTGTTGTGATTGGTGATTCGTTTTCCTTTCAGAAATCATCGTATGTGCAGAAAATAAGTTCAAAAGCTGGTTCAATGGTTCATGATATATGTGGGATGAAGGCACTATAATTCCTTCTTCTGAACTGAAAAAAGAAAAACAGAAGAACTGTAAATGGTTTACTTCCTCTAAGATGAACATAGTACATAGTCCTGTCCCTACACCTACAGGTTGGATCCATGCAACTTGTATGTCCAGTCCACCTTGGTGACTAATTGAGTTTAGAGCTTTGTGATTTTGCTCTGTAAATGGAAAGCGCCATACAAATCAAATCAAATATTATTACCAGTGTGTGTATATCTGTGAGTGCCGTGTACAGTATCTACCTCCAATAAGGACATTGTCCTGATGCATAATACACTACCATTACCACTATCCTAATATTCCATTTACCCAACCAACCCATTCCAGCAAGATAAAATAAATATGCGTGCCATACATTCCCTCAGGCAGATAAATTGAATAAATTACCCTATAAATCTCCTCGTCCTCCTCTGGAATAAAGTCTACTAGCTCCTCATCTTGCAGGTCACATGATATCGCTCGGCGAATTTCAGGCCCAATATCATGTAGCGTGCGAAGGCCAGCCTGTAACCATGACAATAGAGTGAGGGGCTAAGGGCTGGTAGGAAGGTTCTCTTTCAGGCAAAGAGGCTTGTCACAGACCCACGCACACACACACACACACACACACACACACACACACACACACACACACACACACACAAACAAACAAGAACAAAAATACACACACAGACACACACACGCACATTCATTCAGCTGCCCTTTGCTGGCTCTCACGCAAAACCTGAAGTTTACAGACGCCCATATTGGACAGTGCTAGACAGACTGTGAGAGATGAGAACATTTATAAGAGACAAACAAATGTGCTCCCCCTGAATATGCCTTGTCGTTAGTGTGTCTCCTATGACATTACATTATCCTGAGTGTGTGGTTAGAGTGTGAAATGTTAGTTACATCTTTGTCTTTGTGGAGAAAATAGCTACTATTACAGTTAGTTACAATAGGCACATACTATAGTTTACTTACTATAGGACTGTTTCAATGAGGAAAAATATAGCTAGGAATATAAGGGAGAGGGACAAGAGATAGAGAGGACTACCTGAATGATAAAACCTCATGGCTTGAAGCTAACGGTGATGAAAACAGAAGTAAGCTGCTTTGAGTGTGAGCTTCATGAGCTGATGGGTGAGATACATGTTAAAACATCGGATGACGATGATGAGTGGACAGAGACAATGGCTGCATCCCAAATGGCAGAGCCCTATGGGCCTTGTTCAAAAGTAGTGCACTTTATAGTGAATAGGGAACCATTTGCGATGCAGTCAGATATACACCCATTACATTGTCAACGGTAACACTGAGACGAAGACACATGCCTCTCCGAAAGAGACATACGTTGATAAACATGTCCGTCATCACATAAACAGGATCATACTGTACACCAATAGCTTTGATCATGAATGACCTGCTGAATCATAAATCACAACATTAGCACACTTGGTTGTATTCCACACACTAAGAAATGCAAGCAGATTCTCACACACGTTTCTTCACACAAATATTCTCAATAGTCATGTTGACCCAATCTCTCACACACGCACGCGCTAGGGCTGTGACGGTCTTGGAATTTGAGGTTACGGTAATTGGCCAGGCCAATGTACCTGGTCACCGACATAACCGGGGTCCCCTCTACTTTTCTGAACAATTCACAGAATGTCACCAACGTTGCAGCGGTCATTCTCTGTGGCAATATGTTGTTCAAAGTGGCTAGAGAGGATGCAGTAATGAGAGAAAAATCATATACTACTGGAAAAAGAATATGCTACTGAAAATATTAGTATATAGGCTATGCATCCTATAGGATGAATCATGAAAGGACCTTGGCTACATTAAATTCAGTTGCACCCCATTTAACAAGAGAGGAAACGCAAAACTGGCACCTGTCGTCATTCCTCGCACATATGCTGACCCTGCAACACAACAGTTATTTTTCTCTGTCTGATTAAAGCGATGAAGTCCAGACAGGCTATTTTAGGAAACTTTCTGAATGGACATAGAGAATTAGTGAACTCATACACGCGCACCCACCCACCTAAAAGGACCCATCAATCAAAGCCGCCTGCAGCGCATTTTACTCAAGACACATAAGCAAATCACATTTGTCCTTTCCCAAAAACGTATTAAAAACCTTGCCTTAGCCTCAAATCCTTTATGTAGGATATCAAAAAATGGTCTACATTATAGGATGATGCTAAATCAATGTAGCCTATAATATAAATTGACGAGGAAAGTTTTAAGGAGGATATATACTGAGTGTACAAAACATTAAGATGTATAGGGTAAGCTCTTTCCATGACATAGACTGACCAGGTGAATCCAGGTGAAAGTTTTGATCCCTTATTGATGTCACTTGTTAAATCCACTTCAATCAGTGTAGATGAAGGGGAGGAGACAGGATAAAGAAGGATTTTTAAGCCTTGAGACAATTGAGACATGGATTGTGTATGTGTGCCATTCAGAGGGTGAATGGGCAAGACTAAAGATGTAAGTGTCTTTGAACGGGGTATGGTAGTAGGTGCCAGGTTTGTGTCAAGAACTGCAACGCTGCTGGGATATTTTTTTTCTCTGTCTTTTAGGGTTGCCCATAGCACCGGTGGTCGTCTAGATTCACTTTAGCAGGCCTATAATATATAGCCTAATATATAGGCTATACGAATGATTCATTAATATATTAATTAACTTCTAACTTACACATCTCTGTCTTCTTCACTGTTCCCTTCTTGCTCTATTCACGCATTTTCGCTGGCAACTCCACTCCACTCTCTCTTCCCCCTCTCTCTAACTCTTGAACGAGTAACCTATATAAACTCAGCAAAAAAAGAAACGTCCTCTCACTGTCAACTGCGTTTATTTTCAGTAAACTTAACATGTGTAAATATTTGTATGAACATAACAAGATTCAACAACTGAGACATAAACTGAACAAGTTCCACAGACATGTGACTAACAGAAATGGAATAATGTGTCCCTGAACAAAGAGGGAGTCAAAAGTAACAGTCAGTATCTGGTGTGGCCACCAGCTGCATTAAGTACTGCAGTGCATCTCCTCCTCATGGACTGCACCAGATTTGCCAGTTCTTGCTGTGAGATGTTACCCCCTTCTTCCACCAAGGCACCTGCAAGTTCCTGGACATTTCTGGGGGAATGGCCCTAGCCCTCACTCTCCGATTCAACAGGTCCCAGACATGCTAAATGGGATTGAGATCCAGGCTCTTCGCTGGCCATGGCAGAACACTGACATTCCTGTCTTGCAGGAAATCACGCACAGAACGAGCAGTATAGCTGGTGGAATTGTCATGCTGGAGGGTCATGTCAGGATGAGCCTGCAGGAAGGGTACCACATGAGGGAGGAGGATATCTTCCCTGTTATGCACAGCGTTGAGATTGCCTGCAATGACAACAAGCTCAGTCCGATGATGCTGTGACACACCGCCCCAGACGATGACGGACCCTCCACCTCCAAATCGATCCTGCTCCAGAGTACAGGCCTCGGTGTAACGCTCATTCCTTCGACGATAAACGCGAATCCGACCATCACCCCTGTTGAGACAAAACCGTGAATCGTCAGTGAAGAGCACATTTTGCCAGCCCTGTCTGGTCCAGCGACGGTGGGTTTGTGCCCATAGGTGACGTTGTTGCCGGTGATGTCTGGTGAGGACCTGCCTTACAACAGGCCTACAAGCCCTCAGTCCAGCCTCTCTCAGCCTATTGCTGACAGTCTTAGCACTGATGGAGGGATTGTGCGGTCCTGGTGTAATTCGGGCAGTTGTTGTTGCCATCCTGTACCTGTCCCGCAGGTGTGATGTTCGGATGTACCGATCCTGTGCAGGTGTTGTTACACGTGGTCTGCCACTGCGAGGATGATCAGCTGTCCGTCCTGTCTCCCTGTAGCGCTGTCTTAGGCGTCTCACAGTACGGACATTGCAATTTATTGCCCTGGCCACATCCGCAGTCCTCATGCCTCCTTGCAGCATGCCTAAGGCACATTCACGCAGATGAGTAGGGACCCTGGGCATCTTTCTTTTGGTGTTTTTCAGAGTCAGTAGAAAGGCCTCTTTAGTGTCCTAAGTTTTCATAACTGTGACCTTAATTGCCTACCATCTGTAAGCTGTTAGTGTCTTAACGACCGTTCCACAGGTGCATGTTCATTAATTGTTTATGGTTCATTGAAAAAGCATGGGAAACAGTGTTTAAACCCTTTACAATGAAGATCTGTGAAGTTATTTAGATTTTTACGAATTATCTTTGAAAGACAGGGTCCTGAAAAAGGGATGTTTCTTTTTTTGCTGAGTTTATATAGCCTATATATAGACAATGAACAGCAATATAACAGCAACTTATTCCGAGGATTTTTTTAAACTAATAGGCAGAGGCCTATTCGAGGAGAGAAGCATCGATTGATCCTCTTGCTTGCTGAATGGCTATAAAATAGGCTACAGCGTTGGCAATGAACTGGCGGGGACATTTGAATGGCGAGAGCGACGTGTAGCCTAGCTCTGGTGTGATGTGATCACATTGGCTAAATTGATACCTTGCTGCACTGATGCATTGCAAATGCAGGGAGAGATTAACTAATTAATTAATTCATTAATTCAAACAACAAACCCACTGACGTGGCGGCACGCGGCTTGTCAGTGGCAATGTTCCAGATGACAATTTCTATTGGTCAACAGCATCTTTTCACACGCCAACAGTTTATTTTCGCATGCGAAAAGATGCTAAAATCGAACCGTTCTGAATAAATAATTGACGTATTGTGACAGGACATTTCGCAATTGGT